CCGTCCAGAGTGTCAAAGGGGTCAGATTGTATTAATTCCGCTGGCTGCTCTGGGTGGTCCGTCGTCAGTAGCAGCGTCCTCATGCAGATCGATCGTCCGTCTTCATGCTGCTGCGTCATTTTTCTCCGCACACGTGTACATGTACGTGCACTACACATACATGTTTCAGCTGCTGAATGTTAGTGTACGTGATCGGACAGCTGAACTTTTTGTGAGTTTCCCTTCTTTTTTTAAGACTGAATTTGGATCTCAACAATTTTGGCTGTCCAAACTTTTGCGACATCTCGAACAAGAGCCTGCCAGCGTCTGTATTTCTGGCTTTGCATCATACTGGGTTGAGTTGTGTCCAGACCGTAGATTTGTGGGGGTTCTCACTGTATGTACATGTACATTTACAAGTATAAACTTAAACTAAATATGTTTGCTGTAGCTCCATGGATATATCTCTCTTTTTTTTGCGTATGTGGGATTCCGAAAAGAACCGGTGGTTCAGACAGCATGCTTTGTCTGTCGTCAGCATACTGTCCGAAACATTGAGTACCACCGGTTCTTTTCTCCATCATGAAAAGCTTCAAATCTCCTGTATAAACGTATAAACATTTGCCAAGATTTTTGGGAAAAGAAGGAAAGAACCCAAAAATATCAAAAGGAAAGAGAGAAAAGAAAACATGAAAGGCACCTATGCTGCTACATGTGTGTGGTCTTTTCTGTTTGGTCGTCTACTGTTCCCGTGAGAAATATCATCAGCCATGTCATACATGGACCCAGGTCACATATTAAATGCATTTTGAGCACATGTCTACACCCTTGCTTAGCCTAGGACGTTCCAGATGCAGGATTGAAGCTGTGGAATCATAAAGATAAATTGCATAACATGTCTCTTTCTGGGTCACCTCAGTTTTTTTTCCCCCCTTTGGGGAGTATTCTTGAGGTTGTCGGATGCTTGGGCAACCCTTGAGCATCTCTAAATTGGAAATCTGTTTCTATTCCTTGGGAGTTGTATGGAAATTCATCATTCTGGTTCTTGGCATGAGATTGCAGTAGATTTACTGGTATGACTTCTTGCACTTGTATTAAACTTTTGAACAACCCCCCCAAGAAATGCTTCTTTGTTTGGACCATCTCACCATGGGGGACAGCAGTGCCTTATCCTTTGGAAACATGGTATTTGTTATTATCACATAGCGTACATGAGAGCACATCTGTAAAATTCAATGCAGGCGATTCACAATAGTTTGCCTCCTCGAGTTTGCAACGCGTTGGCCAATCACAAAATCGAAATCTGTCAACCCTTTCCAAACATGCATTGGGTCGACAGATTTCGCGCAGATTTCGCGATTGGCCAACGCGTTAAAACTCTTGGAGGCATGATTGCGAATCACCTGTATTAAATCTGGTCACTGGTAGATCACAGCACGTCAGCTCGTGTGCAGTTTAGTGTGAAAAAGCAACATTGTGGGTTGACCTGTCTCAGAAAAAAATGCTAGCCTCGGCAGTAGTGGGATGTTCGATTTCATAAAATTTGTATCATCAGTAGAAAAGGTCTCGAGGCTTGCCGCAAGAAAAACACAAACAACATTACGGTGATATTTGAGAAATATGGACGGGCGGTTCCTTTTGTACTTTAAAAAAAAGAGAGAGTCATTATTAGTGGCAGTTGTAGTTCTGGCCTCTAAGGCTGTGTCCAAAACGGGCTTCCGGAGCTACGGCTAGGTGTATTGTCTACGCGTCTCCACGCATTTCCAATGGAGTGAAGCCTTAGTCTGTCTAGAGAACACAGGTTGATTCATGCCAATTCATCACTGACCACTTGGGCATGTCGACACGCTTGACCTCTGACTCGGTGGCCAGAACGACAACTTTTAATTAAAGAGTATAAATGAACCTGTTTGCAGTTCATTGCATAACACCACAGGCAGTTTATAGGACCACACCGAATTGGCCGTTATATGGGGATGACTGAAAGTGTGTGTGAAAGGGTATGTGTAGTTGGTTGAAGTGTGTGTTTCACACTCACTGGGAGTTACATGTATGTACACATGTGTCAGTGTTTCAGATAGTTAATGGCACATTTCAAGTAATGTTGGAGTTCAAGCATACATGTCTACAGTTCACATGGTTTGAATGCCCTCTCCTCCAATGGGCCTCTCGGACATGCATTCAGCCAGCCTCAACTTCAAGGAGCGGCAGCGTAATGCCCACACCTGGCCTTAAGGGGCTGCAGGCCCTTGTGAATGCAGCCGAGCTCCTCCCCCCCTCCCCCCACGTGATAACCAGATCAGCAGGACACAGTGGTGAAAGCATGCGTCAGCGATGCTTATCACAGCCTGATGCACTTTGCTGGTCAACCGTCATGAGAAGCTGACACCAAGATTTGAAAGGGAGGCGGAACCATGCTGCTACATGTGTTTGTTTTTGTAAGGCCGCTTGCCTGTGACCTTTGATTTCTCTTGAGTATGCCCTAATAAAAGGCTAACTTTGGAATCCCATGTTTTGTTCTCTGTGATGTGTAAGATCATGGAGATGAGTTAGGAGGAAAAAGATACTGAACACTGACAGAATTTTGCCTAAATCACCTGGGTCAAGGCCGGAATATGTGTTGTCTGTGAAGCTCTTTATTTTGTTGGCTATACAGTTTATATACACACTTGTATGCCCCCTGGTATGGAACTCCAGGGAATTCGCATCTCCTGGATTTAATTTCCATTAGGCCCCATCCAGATGTTCAACGGACTTTGCCTTCTCACATTCTGCTGCAAGATTTGATTACCTGTTAATAGCAGCCCATCACATCCATGAAGCCCAGATCACCGGGCCAATTACAGAGTCAAGGTTGGATACCGGTCGGAAGGTTTCGCAGTTCCCTGTGCGCACACTGCAATAGTATGTGCCTGCGTTACACGCGCCTGTGTGGGAATGTACATGTACTTGGACGTCATGGCTCGTGCCTTCAGTTTAAAGCAGTCCCCTCCAACTGTGACCTGTGAAAACTAACAACAAACATTTCTGAGATTACATGCGGCCATCGGAATGCACAAATTACACGTCCAACCCGTTGCACCGTTCCAACCCAGGCCCTCTGGATGCTTATTTTGACAGTGTTTGATACCCACACTTGAATGTGACGGATTGTCAAAATAAATTCCAATTAGTAACAAGCTGATAAATGACATGAATTTGTATTTGAAAGAACCGGGCAGTTTATGAGGCCTAGCCAGATTTACTACTCGAAGTGTAACCTGACACCGCTTCTCGGGGTTGCTAGGAATCGAAGCCTGAGAGTAACCTAGCTATTCCTGGATTTCCAAGTACCTATGCATTTATTGATTGCATTTGTTTGTTGGTGTTATTATTGCCCAAGCTGCCAGTACCGGTAAAACATGTAAGGGTGGACATGTGTGTTTCCCTGTGAAATCTGAGTTTCATTATTCATTCCAGTGAATTGGTATTGCGCACTTTATTCGGGGCGCACACCCCCAGGCTCGTGTCGCTTGTTTATCAAAGATCACATAAATTACCTAACTAATTTGTTCAATAACGGGGGAGTGCATGTCACGATTCATTAAACCGTCACAGCACGGATGGACAGAACAGGTCTGGCAAGGCGACATTCCTCCTGCCCCGTACTTTTTCCTTCCCCTTCCTGTTAGCAGCCACAGGTTAGAGAGCACCAGTATAAAAAATTCTCAAATTGTTGCGTTGCCGGAAAGAAAAACGTTCACCGCTTGCCCCAAGCCATGTATTCAATTACAGGAGAGGTGGCCAGGGGATCTTACCCTCTCAGTTGCCCTGACAACTGCGTGATTCCTATGACGACAGCCTGGGTTCCTATCAAATGAAAAGATGACTGGTCGGAAAAAGGAGGGGCTGACAAAAAAAAATTGATGTTGGAGTAGTGCACTGGAATGTAAATTATGAACAGCCGTGCCAAGGATTCCTCTTAGTCTGATAGAGGATGCAGTTTGTCAGTATGCAGGTGGACTTCAGTTAGATGCACGTGAAGTGTTCATGCACGTGCATGTTTTCAAGGCGGGCACGTGACGTCTTTATTAAGGGCGACATCAGGTGAACGCGGTGTCAGCTTTGTGCCCCAAGTCTGAATAAATTCAAATTAAGAGCAGCTTTCATTTTTCTGGTTGTTAGCAATTCTTTAACTTCGAATCGAATACATTCTTGTTCTTCTTTTTAAATTGTCAAATCGTGACATTCTGGGTAGGCATTTAATATTCAAGTTCAAATGAAAAAAAAAACCACCTTCATTTATTTCACCACTGAATTTTCAGAGGTGATGGGGGTTCAGAAGTCTTTGCTGAATGTCTGGCTTTCTTTCTGATCTTATTACCAAATGATTGCCTTGTATTCATTTGATCAGTTTATTTCTCTTCTTTCCCAAACCAAACCATTTTCCTTATCCGTACTTCCACCTCAAACTTTCTCTCCTCCCCCCCCCCGGAACTCTGTATTTAAAAATCACTTATGAATTGCATTGAATTGTATTGAATCCTGTTCTTGAAATTGATGTGTGGCCGTCACCTGTCTCATCAGTTCCTGTTTCATCCTTTGGCCTCCTCCGACCTTATCACTATCCCAGTGTTTCTCCATTTCTGTTGCTTGAACACTTCCTGTTTCACTGGAATTTTCTCTCTTTTAAAAAAAAAAAAAAAAAAAACATTTTGTAAAATACATTAGTCCCTGCTGTGCGTGCAATACACATGATGCAGTCTTTAATACCTTAAAGCCATTTTTCCCTACCGTTCTTCCAGCGCCATGCCCAATCGCGCGTACACATTGTGTCCCATGCATTGGCCGGCCTGAGTGGGCCAAACGGCACCATCAGCGTGTACCCTTGCAGCATGTCATCCATCCCCTCCCCCATTGTACTGTCCCTCCAGTCCCGCCCCTGCCCAATCCCATTGGTCACATTGAGCCATATATAAATATATATATATCTTGTCTAACCAGAGCCACATACAATTTTATGTCCCCTTCCCCCTTCTAAGACCTGGTATGACGGACTGTCCGAGGCTGAGCCCATGGTGAGAACGGACCAGTCGGCCGACTTCACGGTATCTCTGACTTGCAGCCTGTCATTTCGTTTTTTGTTTTAATAGTCCTAACCTTCCTGTGTCCTTCAAAATCTACCATGAGGATTGGGAGGATTTTGCAGGATTGAGGAAGGTACATGTACATGTATACAGGCCAGACTAGTGTCTGGTGGGGCTTGGTGCCCCCCTGAAAATTACAGCTTGAAGAATTGTGCCATTGGTTTCCTGCACAGTGGTGGATTTTGAAGGAATCAGGAAGGTTCCTAGCAAAAATGCATCAGGAGTTAGGGCTTAGAAGAAGTAAAAGAAAGAAAGTCCCAGCTTTGCTTATTGTTCTGCTTCTCATTCCCCTGTCCATGCTGAGCAGTGCTCTCTGTACACGTCCCAGATGTAAACTGTACAGTCCAACCATTGCATGCCTTCCTTTTGTGGCCAAACCAAAGTCCTTCTGCTTCACCACACTAACTGGTGGGTTACATTGTATGCTCGTGTTCAGTGACTGCAGAGAAATTGTAGTGTATGTAATTTTGCACATTAATGCCATTCACATCTTCGCACTTGCTAGCCCGATGAATTAAGTTACAAAATGAATAAGGATCCAATCAGTCACCCTTGGCAGCAGGGATTTCTGGATTTTCTTCCCTTGTGTTGGTGGGGTATGTACATTTTGGTGTACATACCAGTAGATTGTGATGCAATTGCTGTAAATATTTCCTCACCAATTCGCCTGTAAAGTTGATACAAAGGCCTTGGATAGATCAAGGAGAACCCCCCCCCCAAAAAAAATCTCCCCAGTTCAAAGCTCTCTGTATTGAATTGCCAGTTCTTGTTTACGGCCAGCATCAAAAGGGAACGGCCTTGAGCCCAGTGGATGGTTCTTGCTGCTGATTTACAAAGTCAATATCGTGTAGCTGTTTACATAAGTGCAGTGTTTCTGTGTGATGACGTGAGAGGTTTTTTTTGGGGGGGGAAGAGAATTTCATGTACTTCCCTGCTTAATTTGCAAGTCATTTGCTTTTGTTTTTTATTTATTTTTATTTTGCACAACTTCTGTTACCCAAAAATTGGAAGTTATCCAAGTGGTCCTACAAGCAGATATAAGGTTTTGCAGAAGAAAGTCCTGAAATGCTGCCTTTGACATACGTGTTTACATGTACATCATCCATCTGAAGATTTGATCTCCGATTCGCTTTTTTTTTTTTAACCGTTTACACAAGGAACATTAAGTTGTTGGGTTTTTATCAATTTAATTAGGTGTTGCATTTCTTTGATTGTTCCAAAGACAACTGAGAGCATAATGAGAGGGATATAATTGTTAGATCTAGGAAGAGGGCAGATTCAGGGAAGGGAAGATTCTGGAGAACAGTGTCTATGGGAAGATCTTCCAATTATCAGATGGCAGCTACGCTGTGGCATGCAGAGCATAGCAGAAAAAGTCCCCCCCCATCCCTTTTTCCCCCTCCTGTATGTCGGTTCTGCCACCTTATCTCAGTACCAGTTCCTAGTCTCACGACAATAATGAGTACCAGGCCATAACTTGCATTATTAATATCCATGGGACCAGTATGCTGTTGTTTATTTTGTGGCATTCTTGTGGAAAATATAAGATTTGGGAGGGATGGGGGGACGGTTCCCAGTCAGCTACATGTTGTCAGTTCGTCTGTGCTGTACCCGTCCTGGGCTGCATGCATCATCTTTGTCGTCCGTATTAGCCCATTAATAATTCAGTAATATTCCCCCCCCCTTCACTATGACATCAGTGCAGAAGCCATCAAGGCGTACAATCTGGCAGCAGATTTGATTTCTCCCTGACTCATATTGCTTTCTTTTTTTCTTTTTTTTGGGGGGGGGCTCTGTAATGAGTCTTGTGGGACCTCCTGCGCAATTTATTTTCTGGTCATCGTTGAGTGGAATTGTACAGATGGTTGGTGCGTACATGTACTGTATGTCGTAAGAAAGTGTGTTAAAAAGAAAAAGATCAAAACTGCTGATTCCGTTCTTTGAGATCTTGCTTCTGATAATGGCTAAATGCATCCGGGAATGCTGTGTATTTTAATTTGAAAGAGTTCATATTGCTTCAGTGTTTTTGGTCATTTTTGTTTTGATTGTAATGAAAAGGGCATGTAGAGTTTTTTTTACATACATGTATCTGGTATTTTTGGTCGTGAAAAAGTTTGATGCCTGAAATCTTTGCTGTTGTGTTCTCTGTAAGTGCCCTGAATGGACCTGATCTCTGTCTGAATGGATAATTGGTATTATTATTGCTTGACAAGTAATGGACTGTTGCTACTTATCTATGAACAATTATAAATGTGCCTGCCAAGACATATTCCCTCTTTATTTGGCTTTGTGATGAGACAGTGTCTTTTGAATGTGTAGATTTGGATGGATGGGCTGTTATGATGGCCATAATATGCATTAATTACCAGTCGTGCCTGTTTTTGACATGTTGTATTACAGTTGAGCATGTACGTGTAGTACTGAAATTAATACAAATCCTGTTCTACGGGCAAGAGATTCATGTTTTGCAGTATATAATCCTCTGCACGGAGAGTCAGATTTAATGCATGGATAAAGTAAGACGATTTCGCAGCATGCCTGCCTTGAAAAATCAAACTTGCATATGGTAGCTGAGGATCCTACGTTTCATTTGCAACTGATGCTATTTTCCACCAGAGCGGGGACAAATTCCAGGGCCAGAACTGAGCGGCCATGATGGTAGTTTGATAATGTGCTGCATCAGACTGGGGAGCAATTAGTTACTTTACGATGGAGCAATTACCACAGCTCATTGCCAGCACTCCAAACGCCAATACCAATTAGGCTAATCCCCGATCCCTGAAGCTCAATTTTGCAAAGTGCCTTCTTTGATGAGTGGCACACAGTTTAGGGGAAGGGGACAGAATTTGTCGGTCGCTGCTCACCACTACTGCCATTGCGAGCCCCTGCCAGTACCAACAGGAATAATTTTGTAAATAGAGACAGGCAGTGGCTTGGTAAAAATGTACATGTATGAAACATAAGAGTTTCATGCAATTCCAGTCAGGATGAGAAACAAGGATGCTGGTTGACTGTCCAAATTGTGTCCTTCACATATCCTGCACTCTGGTGAAGGAATAAATACCACATGTAGATCACTTGCCGTAATGGCTCATTAAAGTATTGCCCCAAGTACATTCATCTCAAGTTTGAATTCATAATCTTAGGTTGATTCTAAGGGGGAAAATAACATTAAAATTCCTTGTGCTGACACTGTCCTGGAGCATTCTTGGCTCGTAACTTTGTAAAAAAAATTAGATTTGTATGAAAATGAGTTTGAAAGAAAAGTCAATTAATGAGGTCATCTGCTTTTAGGACAATTTTTAGTACAATTTACACTTCTGTACTAAATGTAGGCACTAGACTTGAATTGTTCAATTGAAAGATCCATCTGTAGTAGGCCTAACGTTCTGAATTGACTAAGGAGGAAAAAGAGAAACCAGTTGAAATGACATTTTTAAAAAGACAAGCCCTCTCTTTTCGGGTAACAATTTATGCATGCTTATCCCAACCGGTTATAAATGTAAATGTTCTTTCAGTGCGGAGATAGCGGCTACATCTGGGTCAACACTGCTCTCTATCCGATTAGGATGTGGAATTAGACTTCATGCAAAATTTGAACACAAATACCGCGATGCTTGGATGAGGCATTAGAAGGTTTATCAAGGACCTGTGTGTTTGTGCACAGCACTCATGCTGTACTTGTGCACAAAGTAGGCTACTGAACGAAATGCTTGAAAGGCTAAGCCGTGGACGGGTTCTTTCCAAAAATGGCGGGAGGGTAATTATAAATGTATTCAAATTAACCAGAAGGCGATCTGCAGTTCACACATGCACATGTACATGGGATCGATCAGTATTATGAAGCATGGTTAGGGCTGGATATACAACAAGAAATGCTAACCTCTCATTTAATGGACCGGTCTAAAGATGAAAAATACATCCTCATGAGCACCCATCTAAAATTCATCACACCGAGGCAAACTGATAAGTTGTGTTATCAGACAGTAAGTCCATTGTTCAATTCCTGTCGTCAGCACCCTTTGAGCAGGATTTTTTGTCGAAATGGGAAAAATCCATGCATTTGAGCCTCTGAGTTTACCAAAAGCCTGTGCCAGCCAGGACAACTTTTTGGCCAATATGTGTAAAATTAAGATCGGCAAGTAGGAATTTAGCAAGGAGATAATAGGTGTATGTACGTCAAGTAATTTGATCCAAGGTCAAAGACATATGCACAGGCCATCATCCCCCCCAGCCCCACGGGGCTCTGGCTCCATACTAATTGATGAATAATCTGTTTTCATTAAACGAACATTAGATTGAAATAAGTAGCAACTAATGCCGTAATTTGGCCAGCCAGAAAGTGTTCATGGGGAAAGAAAGGACTTCATGAATAATGCATTAGCTTCTTTGGCCAAAAAAAAAACCCAGCCGTCAACGCGATGAGTTGATTGACATGAATTATGCATGCTGGTGAATTATTCTTTGATGTGCAGCCATTGTAGAATAGCCGCAGCGCATTATGGAAGAGATGCAGTATACTATGAATTATTCATGAGTTACCCCGAAGTGCCCCTGTTGCTTTTACAGTTGGATATAAGTAAACTGAACAACCTACTGTCAAAATGGGAAGAACATACATGTACATATTGTGCAATAAAGGCACCCAATCACGCAGAGTGGAGAGACACGATATTGGCTAGAAAAAGTGGGAGGGACAGGAGCTTTTACAACACCTCAGCCACAGATTCTGTATTTTGATTGGCCAAGAGCAAGTCACATGGCATTTGCTATTTTTTGCTGTCTTGCTTTCTGCACGGCTAAAAAGAACTAGTCCTGTTGCAACCGAAGCACTTGTACCAGTAGCAACCGAAAACTTTTCGCGTGACCACCGGCACTGTGTGCAGATCTGCACTGTGGTGTGTGTGTTTGTTGCGCGTTGCATGCATTCTGAAGTGCTTGCTAGCGCTACAGAGCTTGGGTGCAAACATTTCCTGAAGAGGTAGTTCGGAAAAGTACTGGTAAATTTTCCACCAAAATTTCCTGTTCAAACAGACGCACACGTGTACCTATTGTATTTATTTAGATCAAAGCAATCAGTTACTGCTTAAATCGAGCAGAATCCGTGGGCAGAGGTGTTATGAAACAAATGTCGACTTCTTTATCTTGTGGTGTAGTAAAACTAGCCTTTCTCCGAGATACATGTACAAGGAGCATTTTGTTTACCTTTGGAGAAAGCGTAGGCGGAGGGTGGACGACACCGCATGATAACTGTCCGCAGTTACAATTATGCCTTGAAGTGAAAAGTAGTTTGCATGTTAATGCTTTCTAAAACAAGAGAGGCATTTCTTTTCACGCTAGAAAACCGACAACATCTAGCTTTTATCGTCTTTCCAATTGCTTGTCCCCCTTTCTGTAATGTTTTTGCATCCTTAGCAATAACCTACAGTTTGGTAGTATGTACCTGTACTTGTAAATGTAAAGTTTATAAATGTAAAGACAACTATTTTTCTTTGTCATCAGACACAGCGTGGCTCAATGAAAAATCCCGATTTTGGTTTAGGAGCTCTTGAAGCTGCATCTTTGATGAAACAGGTCAAGCACTAGCTACCTGTGAGCTGGCTGCGTCATAATTTTGTTATAAATTGAAGGTGTCGGTTACCGGGGAATGCAGAGACTGTGGCCCGCAGGCCTTTTGGCAGTGATTACCGCATTGCGGTCACATCTAAAAAATGTTGCTGGCAAACTTTGGCTGAATACTGTGTAACGTAATAAATTCAACCTGACTGAGAAATGGGGAGGGGGAAGAACAGAGTGTGCATGTGTGCATCATTTATGTAGGTCAACTAGCTGTTCCATATGAAATGGTCTGCCTCTTGTTTTTTGGCTTGCTTCTACAGTAGTTTCAATACCAACATGCTAATGTGAGGTTTAGATGGTCTTGATTTGTTCAAGTTCAGTAAGCGAGTGATCACTAAAATTCCGGTGTCACTATTCTCTACTTGCAGCAACGGCAGTACATGGAGACAGAGTACACCTACAATGGTGTCCCATTCACTCGCTCCCTGGGAACTGGGAGCCCGCCCATGACTCCGAGCCACTCCCATGAATCTGCCAACCCGGGCCGGAACCATGCCGGGTCCTCATCCTGCTGCACGCGCTGGGCCCGGGGGAACCGCTACCAGGCCACGCCCACCTCCCCAGATGACTCGGACCTGAACGACATCCACGTGCACGACCCCAATGCCAATCCAGGCATCGTCATTCCCACGGCGAAAGAGGACCTCTCCCTGGATGCCTACCCGAAGATGAACTGCGCCACGACGACGGTCACTGAGGCGATCGTCACCGTGACACCGCCCAGCATGGCAGGAGATGGGGACTCCCTGAACACCACTGTGAGTACCCGATCCAGCCCCGCGGTAGTCCGGGTGTCTGCCCTATAGCACAGATCACCCATCGGCAGACTGGGTCGAGAGAACTGAGGCGTCCTCTGACCACGTTTTCGCTATTCATCCGTTTCTTCTTCTTATTTGATTGCCTTAACGTAAATTGATTGGCCAGAGTGTATAATATGCTTTTGATATTACACATGTAAAATAGTCACTGATGATGACCAACGGTAATGATACCGACCATGGAATAATTGTTCCCACGTTGCCGTCAGCAGTCAAGGCCAGGCAGGGCATCATCATTATTCTGCCTGCATTGTAATTATACTCAGCAGGTATTGGCAATGGCCTGCCACTTTCAACAAGTGTACCCTCGTATCATGGCTGACCAGCTTGAATGGATAAGTGTCAAGCTAAACAGTAGCGTATATACACTGTACATGCATTTGAAGACAGAGCCGTTTTCCAGGGCGTAGACTCCGTTATCAAATACAAACTGATATTGTGCCATGGATGATCAATGCTCAAAGCTCTTTTTGTTTCTAGCATTCTTTCTTTTTTAAAAATTTTTGGTACAAAGTTTGTATTATGTGCTGGTTGGTACATGTATGTGTGTGACATTCACAAACCAGGGTTTTCACAACGGTTATTCCTTTTTTTATATAACGGGTTTTGCCCTACCCAACGTATATATTGATAAACACTGTATGCTCAGTGCTTGTCTGAGAGCTCACGAAAAAATTCACAAGCTTACTCGGGTGGGACTCGGTTATTCTTTTATTTTGTACTCGAGGAACTTCCGACTCTTTTCAAGGGATTAACCACCACAAATTTAATTTGAAACCCAGAATTGAGCTTAAATTTACAGTAAACTAATCGCAGAATTCTGCCAAAAGTCACTCATTAAGTCAACTTTTTTCAAATACCAGCTTAACATTACCTTTTTTCCTTGAATTAGGTAAGGGAATCTCCTATACGGTATTTCAGCCAAGTCTAAAATAGTCCCACTCCATATTACAGCATCAAGACATGGGTGCGTAGAAAACCCAGTTTAGGAATATTTATTAGTGACAGTAACTGCTGTTCCAGTTCATCAACCCCCCCCCCCCAATTTATGGTTCAGTCCAGTTTTAGAGTAAACATTTACCAGCAGCTCAACATTGTTTCTATGTTGACTTCCTAAAATATTTCTATACATGGATCGTGTGGGCTAAATTTAGAGTTATGAAACGGCTCTACTCCTAATTCACTGTTGCTGGTGGTGCACATCATTTTGTACTAGATGCTCAATTTATAACGAATCCCGCGGCGCATCAACGGTTATGGCCTCAAAATAAAAGACTTCATTTTTGCATGTACGTGTATCTTAACGCAGTACAAAACCATACGTCAGGTGCCAGCATAGCCTGATGGCATACATGTACATGTAAATCACTTACATTTCCAATTCCTGTTCTTTTGAAATGTGCCGTCATTCAATCCAGTTTCTAGGGTTTTCTGCAATGCTCTGTGATGACATTAAAATTTCAACTCCCCTCCCCTCCCTTCCCAGGGCCTATTTTGTCTTCACTCTGTGTAATCCCAACGGAGTGTTGGTTAATATTATCGCTGTAGCTGGAGAGGAATGTTTTTAAGGGGATGGCGTCCCTCCCTTGCAGCAATTCTGCTGCGATACATCTGCAGAAGGCAGGCGGCGCAACTGTATTAATCCGAGTTGTACCGGTAGGTTACATGGTCCCCTGAGCAGATTATTTATAGACTTCATTCTCTGATTCACAATACAGAAAAAGTTGTACATAAATATTACCGTGGCATCAATAAATAATATTGGATTTTGCATTTCACACTTAAAAAAAAGTTATGTCAAGAAAAAAAAATCACAACTTCATTCGTCAGTTTCATTGCTGCCCTAGACTTTCTAGATGGACTGGCTGTTTTTCCAGCAATGAAGAGATCTCCCAATAATGTATATGTACAATACTAACATGCGTAAACCTGCCCTGACCATATTGTACATGATACATGTATCATATCTTGTGTATAATCTTATGTGATTGGCATGTATTTGTATATCAACAGTTTTTAAACAGATGGGTTTCTCTTTACAGTTGTAAAGGACCTGTGATTTGGGTTACTTACGAGGTATATTTAAGAAGGCGAGGTTCAGTACAAGTTTTTCCTTGTGTTTTGTAAATGCCCATTGTCCAATGAGACCATAGCATTGTAACGTAAATATGCACTTTCCGTTTTGGAACAGTTTTACAGAGATTAAAAAAGAGCGTTTTTGTCTTTGTTTTTTCCCATTCTTTGTAGGGGGTTGTGTTTGTTTACATTTTTATCAGCCTCATGTACTTGTGCAAGAAAGTCACTTGTTCACATGCACGTATGCAAGGCACATTCCAAAATGCCTCACAAAGAAGAAGAAAATGAACATAGGTGGTGAGGGACTGAAGGAGATTTCTGTTTTTGAAAAATTTGGCTTGCCTATGTGTATGTAAAATAACAGTTGGTTCTAATAGGCTGACGTGGACGTCCCGGAACTAACACTGGGCCAACTCAGCTAAAAGCCCCACGGTCTTCACGCCTGTGAGCTGCAGACAGCTCGAGCTCGTGCATGCGTAGGGAGGCCACTCATTAAAAGTGAAGGACGCCGTCACGTGCGCATTTGACTGTGCGCAGTGCCGTGTGAGAGAGACGCACTTGGGCATGGACGTGCAGCGACACCAATAATCTCATATCCAGTGGTGACTATTGCCTTCCATTACTGTACTATTTGGCATTGTTACACAAGGAGAATCCTTAACGCCGTATGCATGGTGTCCATAGCACAAACATCTCCTTTCAGCCTATCAGTGAACTGATTTTTTTTTCTTGTTTGGTACCAAATTGATGTACCTTATATTCTGTTCTTTGGTTTGGCAAGATCTGTGAATATATTTCGAGCTGAGAAAAGACACTGTACATTTCGACGGGAGTTCTCGATTGTGTAAAAACAAGCAAATTTTGCAATGGCCTTTCTGCTTGAATCATTGTTTGCAATAAGAAAGCTTTTTTTGTACAAAGTTTGTCGAGTAAAATGTTTGCAGTTTGATATTTTGGTTATTTGTGGTTTGTGTTTGCTTTCTAAAGAGGGATGCAGCACCTGATATACAGGTGCCCCTTTGAGAATTAAAACAGGAATTTATTTTGACTGGGTTGTTTTTTTATTGAATGGCTATATTCATGTATTTAAAATGTACATACTATTTAAGTTCAATGGTTAAGTTTTTCCTGTTGGGGGGGGATGAATTCTAAGTTGACAGATTGGTGGTTTGTTAAGATTCTAGAGTTCTACAGTAGCATTAGAACTTACCTATATGGCATGAGGACATTTTCCTTGGTGCAATTTTTCCAAGTATTCAACAATTTTACATATAACATCAAAGTTTATTCAGATCTTTACGGCTAGACTCAACCCTAAATAGAGACACGAGTCAATGTATTCGGCACTCTGCATACCAGCATGATGTACTGTTCACCAATGCCTTGACAAGTACAGGCAAATTCTTCTATGACGGGTCCTCAGTTTTTTCATCCAGGACTTTCTAATATTCACCAGTCAACAGTACCTTTGGTACCGCTTTGGTCTAAATATGTGTATTTCTTTTATCAGTACCAGTGAGTTTTTAAATTTCATTTGTAATTAATTCATTTCAAGAAGCAGCATTTATAACCACCATGGTAAAGCCATTTGCTTCCGTCTTCTCACAGTTAGTTTGCTGACCTCCCAAAAACTACATTGGAGTAACTTAAACCAGCCTATGTTCATCTTGTGGATGTGAAATTAAGCCTGATGCACATCTTGTCCCGAAGGACTAATTTTCTAAAATTAGCCCCGACAATGATAAAATAGATCATACTTTGGACAGACAAGGACGTGTTTAGCATACATTCCCCACTGAAAAACAAGGACAACTAGATACAGAAGAACAGCTTATAAGATTTCATTCAGTACTACTTCCTTTTCTGTCTCTCTGTTTGTTGTAATTGCTATTTTGATGAGTGACTGTTATTGGTCCCAAATCTGAAAAATAGAGAAATTAGCAACCGGAATTTTTTGATGTACATGTATAGATATATATGAATATTGACGAAGAAATTGGACTTCATTTTGACACCAGAATGGTCTCACGCAGGGTATCATCCAATTAAGTGTTGCATCTTTTTTTATCTTAAATGCACTCAGAACAAAGGTCGAAGTTGAAGGATCAGCTGAGGGGGGGTTATGCGACCCTACCCGTCTGTGGAATAATTAATGAGCGAATTTGAAGTCTTGCTTTGAATAGTATCCAGAAGGCTGATTATTGATTGCAAGAGAAATGATGTAAAAAAGTTATGTTTTTTCCAATACTGTAATTTACCTGTAAGTGGTTTCTAAGAAATCCAGTTTTTAATTTCAGTTTGTTGTACAAAAGCAATGAACAGTTTTGAAATTCTGTTAACTGTTGATTTTTACACACATTTATGAGATGTAATATATACCCAACAAAAATACTTCATCATTTGCAGTGTCTTAATCTACATAGTACTATCCAATGTACCTGGTGTT